CATGACTATATTTAGGACGAAATACTCATCCTGGATTCCATTGTTAGCTACTACCCATCTTTGTTTGTTTGTTTTTTTTCTAAAAAGAAAAGAAAACAACAGTCAAATCTTTTAAATTCTATTTTCTAGTTGTTATCATTAAACACATCTGTATGTTGATAATAATGTTATTCGTTTTGTTTTAACGAAGGCGCCATTTCTTAACTTAAACAACAGCAACAACCGCAACAACAAAAAAGAGGAAGAGAAAAACTTTTAATTGAACATTGATTCAAACATATACCGAACACCTAGGTATTTATTTATTATAAAGACTGACTCCTTTCTGTAGTTAAAATGTTATCACATAAAATGAATTAATTTTTGTTAAATGTTCAATATGTTCTTGTGATGTATCGTAAGGAAATCATAAAAATAGAAGTGATTTTTATGCCCATCACATATGGTGTAAGTGTAAGTGTGTGTGTGTATGTGTATATATATGGGGGGGTATATATATGTGTGTTTCTAGCTTTAAAGAAATATCTATTCAAACAATTATGATTCAACTTATAAGTTAATCACTTCATAAATATGTTACTAGTTAGTTAGTTTGTTTGTTTTTGTTTTGTCGGGAAAATTGTAATTATAATATAGGAATGAATATAAAGTAGTTGATTATAACCTACAACAAAGAAAGCTAGACCACCATAGATAACCTAGAAGTAATGAACGGTCGTTTCATATTATTATGGGACTCTTGAGTTCGAATCTCACGAGGCAGGATCATGGATGAGCATTGTTGCTGATGAGTCCCATAATAGGATGAAACGGCAATCTGGTGTTTCCAAGGTTTTTCATGGTGGTCTAACTTCAATAATAAATATATTATTATTGAATATATATTTTCAGAAGGGGTTTTGTGGAGATTTTAGAAATTTCAATAATTGAAATCATGAGTCATTTGAAGCTAGACGACCATGAAAAACCTGGAAGCATTGGACGGCCGTTTCATCCCATTATGGGACTCTTCAGTAGTGCGCATCCACGAACCCGCCTCGCGGGATTCGAACCCAGGACCTATCAGTCTCGTGAGCGAACGTTTAGCCACTAGACCACTGAATCGGCATCCAACAGTGTTAATGTCTAACTTCAACTAATCCATGAAATTGAGCGACACATCCACCATGTCTTCAGTGAGTGCTTCCAGGTTTTCCATGGTAGTCTAGCTTCAATTGACTCATGATTTCAACTGTTGAAATATTCATTAGGTATCTAAATTCAATATCCTTATTATATCTTTATTTTTTTAATACTATATTAATTTTACTCATTATGTTAAACTGATCTAATTGAACCAAGATAATTTTTTAAATGATAATAATCATTATTAGATTTTGTGGAAGGTATTGAACAATATGAAGTGACTACAGGTTAGCCAAATGTTGAGATGTGAAAAACGTGGAATAATTATTTCAACGTAGTTTTGGTAGTCAATCCCGACAGCAGTCAGTAAAAATAGGATATCCTTATGTCATTTTATAACTAAGTTTGTTATGTCATATTGTCATGTCTGTGTGGGTGTGTACCTGTGTCTATTTATGTATGTGTTTCTAATGCAATAAGAACAATTTGATTATGTAATCCGAACACGTGATATACAAAAAGTTCACCACCAACAATGAGTTGGTATCTTTATCAGACACGTGAAAACACACAGAGATAGATGAAGGTTAGAATGAGAAGAAAAACTTAAAAACATGTCGCTAGTGTTTCTCTCACCTCCATCTGTTCAAACTGGTTTGAATAAATGAATGACTGAGTGAACTAAGAGAGTGGTACTTGACCTTAGTAGTGAAATCATAAATGTTGATGACCAATGACGTAATTTCCTTAACTCATTCATATCTTCATATCCTAGATACAATAAGATGGAATTATTGTGTATGATGTACATATGGGGAGGGGGGAAACTATGAACAAGAAATAAATAGACAGCGGAGATAATAGTAATAATAATGATTGTTGTTGTCAAGGCTAAAAGATGTTTTAGGAATTGCGTAACTTTGATTTCAATATGTTTATGTCAAATATAGAGATTATTTTTAAATTAAATTTCTATATTTATTTTACCCTTATATATATAATTTAATATCAGCTTATGTAAACATTAACAATTCAGTTTCATTTATTCAGTGATTTACATATCCTGTTAGTTTATTACCTTATGTTATTTGCAGAGTAGCTCAGTGATAATTTATAAGACTGTAAAACTGAATGATGGATATTTGAATGAACAGTAGAAGGTACGATTTAATAGTCAGTAGGAATTAACATCAGGGTTGGATAGAGAGGGCTAGTGGGTGGCCTATACTCTTCCAAGAGGAGTAACAGGTGTAAGTAAAGAATTAGCATGCAAACGACACAAGGGACAAAGACGAAACATCCTAAATAAAAAAATATCAAGATCTCAAAACCACCCATGGAAGAAAACATAAAAAACTGCGTAGTCAATCTGTCAAAACAACCACTAACAAATACGGAAGAACACCTACTCTGAAAGAGATTAAAATACAATACAAGTGGAATTCTTCGCAGCACTAGAGTCATCACTCAAAACTTCCGGAATAAGTGAAGAAAAAAAACAAGAAATAAGGCAAACTATAGTACCGTTAACTCAACAGTGAATGAAAACAACCAACTGACCCCACAAGAACAAAAAGCTTTAAAGGAACTCAGAACTAGAAAGAATATTGTCATAGTTCCAGCGGACAAAGGACGCACCACAGTGATTATGGACAAAGAAGAATACGTCAAGAAAGCCGGGGAACTATTCGTGGATAAGATCACATACAAAATGATGGAAATAAATCCAGTCAAAAAGTTAGACAACCGAATCACAACTACTTTAAACAAGCTCGTCAAAGCAGGAGAAATAACAAAGCAAGACCAATGGAGAATGAAATCCAATGAACCAGTACTCCCTCGATTCTACAGCAGACCCAAAATGCACAAACCGAACATCCCACTACGTTCAATTGCAGTACTCCCCGAAACGCCAACATACAGTTTATCAAGAGAAAGTTTCAAGAATATTGAAATATTTTGTGGATTCATCCAACCACTCCATCAAATCCCCACACAATTCCTGGATCAAATTAAGAATATTCAAACCAACAACGACGGGCTGATGATATCGTTCGATCTAAAAGCGTTATTCACATCAATTGAACCAACGATAGTAAAAGAAACTCTATCACTGCTTCTCACCAACGATACAAATCTCACAAACTACACGAAGCTTCAAATTCAAAGTCTGCTAGTACTCATCGGTTTATGCCTAACAACATATTTTAAAAGACTTTAATCTGATGATATCTTTCGGAAGAACGATGAAAGCTCCATAATTAAACCATCCAGCTCAGAGAACAAAACTCCACCAAAATCATCCACCTGAGCTACAAATCTTCTCCACCATCCCATAAAACTTAAGTTTAGAGATGTCTATAGATTACCTCCAACTAACTAAACGATACTGAATAAACAACATGGAAATATATAGTTCTCATCATATAGTTTAATCTAGAGTTCATATTTTGAATATTTACCATTGAAAAATGTGTAAACTGTTAAAATAATAAAAAACTGTCCAGTGTTTTCTAGTTATTAATAAGCAGTTTTATTTATGATTAGAGGTTATTTCGACAATTAGCTAGTGTTATGTATTGAGAACAGTTGACCAATATCAAATGTCAAGTTAACAATCAGAATCTTGATTCTAATTTGATCTATATACAACTTAATGTTTCTGACTTGGCCAATTACTCAACCGACTTTGAGCTAGTTCACTATTCGCAAGCTCCACTCTGTCTCCTACCTTGAGTTTGAAAAATCAATAACCTACTCGTGCTATATTTATTATTAAATAAGATGGAGTGGTTCAGTGAGCAGAAGTGGTTCAGATACAGATATACGGACTGCATCAGACCAATAATATAAAACTGATTGTAAATAGGGAAGACCATAAGTAATCGATTGGCAACAAGTTAGGAATAATAAAGTTTATCACAAACGGACATGGTTTTCAGAGTTATTATTGTGTTTAATCTTACTTCTGATATGTCAGATAGTGACCCAAATTTCATCCTAATAGTTGACTTGACAACTTCATCACAAGAAATCGATGCTGATTTTCAATGATGATCTAGCTAAGATCAATTCATGATATAAAATCTATGAAAATTCAATAATCTTTATGAAATCCTTATGCTAAAAATTTATTGATTAATTAAATGAACTCTGTTCCATTTACATTTCGTTCTATTTATATTTCGTCAGTAGAGCATTTCTATATTCATGAAATTATTATTGTTTCTTATGTAATTCAAGTATTAAATGATCTTGTATAAAAAGTTTGTTGATAAGATCAATTCAGTTTTCATGAATTAGTTCTGGTTAGTGCTTTTTTAACAACGTTATTTTCTATGAGATGAGGATGCTGACCCCATAGAAGATGGTGTTTGGAGGTAGTCAACAGGAAACTCTGGAACTAGGTTTGTGCTATTTGACACTCATCGGCAAGGTGTGCCTGTAATCTTGAGGAAACTGATTCTGTCTGACAGATTCGATCCCGTGTCACCCAGCTTCACAGTCATAGATCTTAACACTGAGCTATCTGTGCCGCGACTGACTTCCTGTAGGACTGAGATGTATTTACAATTGATTGATCATTGGGTGGTGATCAATGTCATATATGTCAGGTCTTTATTAGTATAATGTCGAGTCACCTAAACTAGTGGCCACATTGCAAATCGGTAGATAAGATTCGATCTGTTCTAAGAAGGACCTGACATACATGACATTGATCACCACCCAGCAATCAATCAATTGTGAATGCTGACCCCATGCCTAACCCTCTTTCTTTATCCAGGCTTGGGATCATCAGTAGCCTTAGAAGAGTTACAGATGGAGTTAATAATTAATTATTTATTTATTGTAACAAACTATTTTGATTTCTTCAGCTGTTCAACATGAACGTGGACCAAGAAATTCTACATTAAGACGACAAGTTGCTTTATTTATGACTAATGATCATCAAACTATACCTAAATCACAATTATCTCGTCAATCAAATCAATTATATCATCATCATCAATATCCAACATCATATCAACAATTATCTCAATCATCTATTCATCAATCTATGCCATTTTCACAAATACCAATATCAACACAATTGATGCATGCTAATACTTTATTAGATATGACACTTGGGAATTCATTGAATACAAATAACATTATTAATGACAAAGATACTACTACTACTAATAATAATAATAATAGTAATAATAATAATAGTAGTGATCAACAATATTCAGAAAATTCATTATCAATCAATAATATATTGAATTTTACAAATCCAGCTATTCTATGCTTAAAATCTACAAATGAATCACTATTACCTTTTTGTTCTACTACACCTTCATTATCATTGTTGTCAACATTGTCTTCTTCTTCTTCTTCTTCTTCTCCTTCTACTATTACTAGTACTACTACTGCTACTGCGACTTCTTCTACTTCCAATACATTGACAACAGTTACCGCTATGAATAATCCCATGGTTACTAGCTCTACAATAAATAATAATATGAATGTTCTTTTATCTAAATCATCAACTATTACTATAACATCTCCACCAATCTGTTCTACTTCATCTACAATGAATATAAACCATAATAATTTTAATTATTTCAATTATTTACCTTCTATGTTTCATTTACCTAGTCCATTTAGTTTAAATTTTCCAAATCATAGTTATTTTTCAACTATAACTAAATCTACAATACCGTTAAGTATGATTAATACTACTTCAACTATGAATAATACTACTCATAATACTATGAGTAGTGTTTGTAATAACAGTACTAATAGTATGATGAATATTGACAATATTAGTACTACTACTACTACTACTAATACTACTAATAACAGTAGTAATGGGAGTACTATGAGTAGTATGAATTGTTTAAATAAAAATGAGAATATCCATCCAATAGAATATTCATTGAATAGAGATTTACTTGAAAAATACATCATCATCATCATCATCCTCAAAACAATAATAATAATAATAATAATAATAATAATGATATAACAATGTCTAATGAAGCAATGACAATCTCATCATCAAATCCAAATAATCTTGATCATTTCAATGTAAAAACAACATGGAATAAAGCGTTAGCTTTTGCTAAATTATGTTTACCAGATTTATTTACTTATTCCAATATACATTTTGATCATATGGATCATTCTATTGATAATCAATATATTGATTATACAAAATCATTATTATATTTTCAATCGATATTAAAATTTAATAATCAATATGATTATGAGAAATCAATATTATGGCCATGGTTTATTTCAAATTCTAATCAATTTATTGATTCATTATTACATTCAACTTGTATGAATGATCATCATTTGGATAATAATCCTAAACAGAAAGATCATAATCATAATATAACTGATCCAATAATAATAATCATAATAATCATAATAATGGTCATGTGAATTCAATATTGAGTTGTAATATTAATTCAGGGAATCAAATGACCAATACATTATGCCCTACAATGCCAATATTGACATCATCATCATCATCATCAGTAACGTCCACGGTGACATCAACTCCGATCACTTTTCCTCAATTACCTTATCATTATTCTTCATTATTAAACTTGCCACATACTATGATGATGAATATAAATGATCAATTTAAGAATTGTTCAAATGCATGGCTTTTCAATGAAAGTCAATCAATGCAAAGGAAATGCGACTTAATACATCAAAAAGGTTAGTTTTGAGATGAGAACTGTTCTTTCTTTTTGAAATTTAAAGATGTGAACTACTCATGAGTAGTTTACTTTTTCATTATACCATTGGTTGTATTCTGTCGTATGAGTAGTTTGTCATGTTTTTTTTACTTAAAAAAATTATACTACTAATTTCATAGTTTAAAAGATTTGCAATCATTTGAAGGCTTTTTCTTATCAGGTGTAAGTCTATGAGTATTATTTATCTTTCCACAGTGAATAAAATGGATTCGGACAAGGACTCGAATATGTAACAATACAAGTTAAGAAGTTACATGTTTTAAGATAGTATTCTTCTTATCTAAATAACTAAAATTTTTAGAATACTGTAGAATAAACTGGAAAGAAGAGGTATCAAATACTCTGTCTACTTCAAGTAGAGTGATAATGATGATAATTGTATTCAAAAAAAACAATGAATACTGGACGACTCAACCATCTGAGTGTAAACTCAGTATTATCAAAAGTTATACAATTACAAATTTCCTTCATCATTTTGAAGATTAAAGTTAATTATGATACAGTGATGAGTATGACCCAATTTTTTAGTTCAGTTTCATGTATTTCAACTATCAGGCTATAGATTAGAAGAATCACGCCTCTATTTATTTTTGCCTGAACTATAATACACATTCATAAATACGATCTGGCTGAAATCTATGTGACAGAAATCAGTTATTGGTGAGTTTTACTAAATTTGTTTAGTGTAACAATGAACTTGTGAATAATTGATAACTTGTTTAGCATCGTCACCGTTGTTTTAAAATAACTGTACTTGTTGTGACTTTAGCCCGGCTAATTATCACGTGATATAACTGCCAATCAGAATACGACTTATAAAATCTCAGTACTGTGCCAAACCAATGAAGTATTAACCGGTATGAGCAGCCTACATTCCTTATTGATCCTTTTTCCTCCTAGCCCTGCTTGTTGAGACCAGAACACCAATATCAGCTTCTGTTCTGGTTAACGTTTTTTTAACGAGTTAGTTTTCTACGGGATGGGGTTGCTAACCCCATGCCCAACCCTCCTCCTTTATCCGGGCTTGAGACCGGCAGTAGCCCCGGAGGGACGCCAAGCGGAGTTATATCAGCTTCTACTATATGAATAATTTATTTTAAACATATCTAGCTCATATACAAGCCAAACGGACCACGTGCATACAACCACTAGCAGCGAAGTCCTACTCACTGCCCTCTCGCGGCACCGGTGTTGTTTACCAAATTGAGAGGATGAGAAGTGAATATCTGGCGCTTTAACCTGGTCAGTGGACACGGAGGATCCACTTAGGGAGTTGGAAAACCCTGATTCCAAGCCAATGGTGTACATGGACAAAAGGCGTATGAACCAATCGTTGGTCACCGGCTACCATGGGATTGTATCTCCTGACGTTGCTCCACTGCCTTGTGGATTAGAACTTTAGATCAAAGGCTCCGGGTTTTGCCCCTAATAAAACCACCTGTTTCTGTTTGGACACCCGGTCAGTATCCCATTCCTGACATAAATTGGATGATTTGTGTGACGTATATCTGTGTGGCGCCTCCTTGTACCAATGTTTATGTGTTTAAATAAATAAATAAATCAATAAAATGTTAATGTTGACAGCTTAGAACCCTTGAAAAAATTCCATGTCTTAATGAATTCTGTTTGATTTTTCCTCCCTTTTACTTTTATTCAATAAATACTAACAGAAAATCAACAACATTGTCAACCATTACCTCCATCATATTCAGAAGCAATAAAAAATCAAATCACTATATCAAATGGATTATTACTACCATCATCGTCAACAATGAATGATTTAAACAAAACTATATTAGATTCAGCAACTAATGAATGTTCAATGTTAAATCAGTTCAATGATAATAATAATCCATACTATTCATATTCATCATCGATTCCTTCTTCTCCTATTATTAATGGATTATTACCATGTTCCTCATTGTCTTCTATATCTTCCATATCATATTGTAATAGTTTTCCATTGAATAATTCATTGAATCCCTCTATGTCAACATCCTCCTCCTCCTCCTCCTCCTCCTCATCATCATCATCATCATCGTCGTCGTCAACAATGACAACAACTTTATCATCACCGTTAATGTCAACATCAACCTCATTGTCATTAACAAATACAACATGTTTACCATGAATATTATACAATTTTATTTAAATCAATTATTATTTCAATTAATTCATTGGTTATGTCAATTTAGACCAGATTTAAAAATGAATGAACATTTCAGTTGTTCTGTAAATAAATACAATATGATGAATTCAATGTGTCAACAATGGGATTATTTATTTGGTATAACACTATTTTTAGAATTTTATAAAATGTCATTAGATGATGGTACTACTAGTAATCATAATAGTAGTAGTGATATAGATGATACAAATGATCAATCTATTATTTTTAATAAAATGCATTATTTATGGTTGGAATTTGTATGTAAACCATTAGTTACATCATGGAATAATGTGAAGAAATCAGATATTGGTAAGTTTGATTAAAATTTATATCAGAAAAGGATTTTTTGTGGAAATTTTTTGGGAGTTTCACTGATTGAAATCATGAGCCAATTGAAGCTAGACCACCATGGGAAATCTGAAAGCACTGGATGGCCGTTTCGTCCAATTATGGGACTCCTCAGCAATGCGCATCCATGATCCCGCCATCCCGCGGAATTCGAAAACAGGACCTATCAGTCTCGCGCCAACCGTTTAACCAACTAGACCACTGAACCAGCCGGTATCCAACGGTGTTTATGTCTAACTTCAACCAATCCACGAAGTTGTACCACTGTACACCATTGTCTTCAGTGAGTTGATATCTCATAACAGACCTGGTTGAACTCCACTGGTAACGGCTTCTCACTGGAACTCCAGGAGTATCTCTTGAAGTCAGTCACTAGTGTGCAGATGATTATTATCAGAAGGGGTTTTGTGAAGATTTTAGAAATTTCACTGGTTGAAATCATGAGTCAATTGTAGCTAGACCACCGCTGAGGAGTTCCATAATAGGACGAAACAACCGTTCAGTGTTTCCAGGTTTTCCATTGAAATTTATATGTTGGATATTATTATTTTATGGTATAATATGATTTGGTTGAGAGTGGTAACCAAAGAATTCATCAAACAAATTAATTTCCAACTGATACGTTTAAATATAATTTTACGTTGAGAATGAGTTAATATATCAAGATTTTTTTCCAACTGATGTCTTGATATGATGTGTACAATATACTGATTAAATGTTATCGTTGGAAAAGAGAACATTTAAAGGTTAGTAGTAATTGAAAACATCACTGGAATTCTGCTGGAACTCTAAGTAACTGTCAATCAATACCAAGGTTGGAATTTTCAATACAAATATCAACACAGTTCTACTGTATGGAGTGGAAACCTGAAGAACTACGAAAGCCATCAACCAGAAGATACAAGTGTTTATTAACAGTTGTCTACGCAAATTACTTCGGATCCGTTGGCCAGACACTATCAGCGACAACCTACTATAAAAGACAACAAACCAGATTCCAGCGGACGGAGAAACGAGGAAGAAGCGGTGGAAGTGGATAGGACACATACTGAAGAAAGTATTCAGCTGCATTACAAATTAAGCCCTCACATAGAATCCTGAAGGTCAAAGAAGAGGAAGACCAAGGAACACATTACGCCGGGAAATGGAGACAGATATAAGAAGAATGAACAAGAATTGGATAGAACTAAAGGGGAAGGCCCAGGACAGAGTGGGTTGGAAAATACTGGTTGGCGACCTGTACTCCATTGGGTGTGATAGGAGTAAATAAGTAAGTAAGTAATTGATATCCTGGAAAAGTTCTTGGCTTATAGTGGAATAATTAAGTGGTCAGTATGGTGTACAATCTAGGCATTGATTGAAAATGTCACAGAATATTGAATTGAATTAGTTGGAAATAGTTAAGACTCCTTAGTTAAAGTCATATGAATTACCTTCATCAATGATTGAAGACTTTAGGTAAAATAAACTTAAACCAATCATAGTCGAATAGCTGAACTCGTACCTTGGTACCTTTCAATCCTAAATTCTGAGTTTCAGTATAGTATTTCACATTTTGTATTTCCTTTTTCTTAAAATTAAAATTCCTCTTCTTTAACTGTTTTCAATAATAAATCCTTTGACGAGACTATAATTTATGGATGAACCAATCACGTATAATATAAAAGGGTTTCGAATTTTGGCGCGAAATTCATTCATTTATTTGGATCTATAGAGTTTTGGCAATATAATTGATGTCAGTTCGTGATGAAAAACCCTTAAATCTAATTCTCAACCTTAACCATCAAATTGTAAATCATAATTCTGAATTCTTCACACTGGTTTATAACCTTCATCATTCGGTTGTAGTGATAAGGTGAACACTCTCAAGTTCAATTTAGCATCGTTCAAATGAACATCCATAAATTCTAGTCTCATTTTCATATATTGCTGTTATAATATTTCGTTGTTATTATTTTTCCTCTTTCAGATTTATTAACTACTTTATCAGAATCCAATCCAGTAATTCAATTATTTACACAATTAATTGTTTTAAAATTAAATGAAGAAGAAATTGATTGGTTAAAAATGATGATCTTATTTAGTTCAACATCAGGTAATATGCTGATTGGTGAATTAATCTTTTGGTTGACAAGGTCAAGTGTTTTGATTGGTCAATATAGTATGCTGACTAATTGTGATGTATCAGAAGGAGTTTTTGTGAAGGTGGTAGTAATTTCAATAGTTGCGATCATGAGTCCATTGAAGCTAGACCAACATGAAGAATCTGGAAGTATTGGATGGTTGTTTCGTTTTTAATTGTGAAACTCTTCAGTGTCACTACGCATCCACGATCCCGTCTCATGAGATTCGAACCCAGGACTTATCTAGCTTTAATTGGATCATGATCTCAAATATTGAAATTTTACACAAGGTTAATCATAGATACTAAACTATGTGACTGAAACATTGAGTTAAATGGCTTTGAATTATTTGTGATTAATATCAGTTCCTTCCATATTTTCTGAATGGGCTTACATAATAAATAGTAATAGTCCAAAGTCTTCTATTTAATTAATATTAATCTTTAGATTCAAGTGTATTTTAAAGAATACAGAATGTTAATGAATTGAGCATTTTCATTGTAAATGATTAACAATGTCGTTCAGATTGTGTTTGTATCGATTAATCCGACGGATAACTGAATCAATCTTAATGATTATTTCTATAGACAAATAGTTTAGATCATAATTAAATCTCTATTAGTTACAAACTCACTTGGTATTGTTTTCTTGAATCTTCCCACTGATGTGTTTGGACTGCAACTGATCAATTTCTCTTATTAGCATATGTGCATCTTGTGCGTATTGTCTTAGTTCACAAGCATTATAAGAAAATATAGTAAGTGGCTAGCACTGGAATCCAGGACATGCATTTTGTTCTATTTGAGGCTCGTCAGTTAGATATACCTGCATCTCAGAGTTGATGTTCACTCTGAGATTACGAACCCAGTACTGTTTGCTTCAAACGACATCACATTATCCACTTAACTACTGAGTCCTGATAACATTTTACTTGTGCGATAGGATGAAGTTTAAATTCAGTTGGAATTGTTTTACTTGAATCTTCCCATCTCTGTTTATCACTGCAATTGATCAGTCTGTTATTATTGGCACATGTGAATCCTATGCAAATTGCTTCGATATTACCTTAATTCACAAATATTCTAAGCAAAGGTGAATAGTGGCTAGCAGTAAAAATTCAGTCATGGTGAAGTGAATAAGAACACGAGCGGGATATAAGTAGCTCATATCACACTCGTCCCGCCTTTAAAACATTCGTTCTTGAGGTGGTTCTGTTCGCCATGCCACTTTCTTCTTTGCTGCAGTCGTCAAAATGTCGAGTCTGCGTTGCGCTCACCTCCATAGCTCAGTCGACCTGCCGGGGCATCAACATCAGACATCCTCCCAGCACATAGGACGTTGGACGTCTGCGCTTCAGCGGCCTGTCGAGTCACCTACATCCGATGTCTGCACAGTATCCTTGTGGTGCGTGCTACTTACATTGATATAAGTAGTATATGACACGAGTCAGGAGTGTAATGTCTGGCAGCAGAAAATGGGGAAGATCAGGGACGGAAGAGTGGGAATAGAAATCAATTAGTATGGAAATGCAAGAACAACGAAACTCGAGACAATTATTGAACATTTTGCAAATTAAGTATTATAGTATGGTTTTTCTATTTTACCGAGTAACTCTGTAATTTTGTGCTAAATACAATTCGATTGTCCCCACCAGTGTTCTGTTCACTACATCCTCACCTCCCACCGCTCTTCTCCGTCGACAGCACCCGCTATAGCCAACCGGTACCTCAGCTCCAGGCCCGCAACGGCGTACGCAGAACAGCACCCTGCCACTTCTGGTTGGCAGCGACACCAAATAAAGTAAACACGAACACGAGAGGAGACAATCAAATGTATGTGATCACAAATTACAGAACATCTCACTAAAATCTGACAACTATGTGGTAAATTTGCAAAAAATCAATCCATCATCTCAAACTTGACAGTTCCTGTTGCAGAAAAAACATCAATCTATTGTCTCATATTTCATTATTCATAGGTTTTCATACTAATTGCATTCCTTTCCCATTCTTTCCTCATCGATCTTCTACTGAAATACATTCGATGCCTGATCATCGTTATATACTACTTATATATGGATATAAGTAGCTCACATTATATTAATAATTTTACTCAACTATTTTTTTTCTTTTCTTTTCTATTTTATACTTATTTATAGATTCATTTCAATTTATACAAAATTATGTCATAAAATATTATCAAACTATATTAAATGGTTGTTTATTACGTCAAGAACAATTAATGCATTTAATTCAAACAATTTATTCATGTATTAATATAAAATGTAATTTACCTATGAATTGGTTAAAATATTATATTGAATGTATATTTCAATTAAATAATGAACAATTTAATTTAATTATAAAACAAATGATATTCACAGCAATAGAAACTTCTGAAATGTTAATGATGACAACCCCATCAACACAATTACCACCACCACCACCACCACCACCAACAGCAACAACAACAACAACAGCAGCAACAATAGCAACAACAACAACTAGTTTACATTAAGATCTATTATGGTTATTAGAAGTGATGAATGAATTTACAGTTTAAATCAAACTAAAGAATAAACCATAGTGACCAATGTTCAAGCCTAATTTGAAATGTACACATAACCAATGATGTCACACATACACACACACACACACACTTATTCACTATACTTAACTGGTGTTGCCAGGTGATCAGTATTCAAGCCTCTGTCTCTCTCGCATGCACACACACACGTACACACATTTATCCACTCTATTTAAATATTATTATCAACAATAAAGATGATATATTGTTGTTAATTAACTAAAGAATGTTTTTGTTTTGTTCCCCCCCCCACGATTTTCTCTAGTTTATTTTTGTTTTCCTAATTCAATGATCTCTTTAAATGAACAGATAACTAAGTTCAGAATTCTAACATTACAATAGTTACATAAACATAAACATAAACACACACGCACACAAATGCACTTGAAAACAAGAAACGAACAAATGAATATACGAAAAAAATATGACTTTCAGTTTTTTGTTTTGGTTGTTTGACTACACTATTTTTGTTGTTGTTCTGGTTGTTGTTTTACCTTATTTTGTCACAAGAAATCTCTTTTTTTTCTTTCTTTTTAAAAAGACTTTCTCTTTAGTTTTTTTTTCTTGTTTATTGTAGCACAAATTTATTTCACCAAAGATAATAGAAATCTATAGAAAAACATAATTTTCTAAGAAAAGAAAAGAAAAAAAGAAAGAAAGAATCTATTAAGCTTATTAGATAATAGACAATGTAATAATGTTACTGGAAAATATTTCGACTTTCTTAATTATATTACTAATATAATATTAATTAGTAATATCAATAGTATTATACTATTATATATAGTAGTTAATTTCTATTGGTTATTTAATTAACCAATCAACGAACAGATGAGTAGGATTTCTTTATATAGATATATATATGGATTTATGCACATATACACATTGCCTCTTATTGTATTTCAATGAAATGACAGTCTAAACGTTTATTATTACAGGGTTATGTTCAGAGATGCACATATCCATTTTTATAGATACTAAGATATATATATATATATATATATATATATATATATATATATATATATATATATATAAAGAACAAATGAACAACACGTCAACCTACTCAAGAACAGTTTTGTTTCTTTATTTAGTTTCTTCTTTTTTTGCTTCTTCTCCAGTTCATTTCATTATTACACCATTTGCACTTGATAATCCGTATTACTACTACCACTATTATTATTATTATTATTATTATTTTGTAAATAGGATATTTTAATGGAAAGAGTACAACTAGTGACTTAAATGAATTTCATAATTGAAAAAATATTTTGTGTTTCTTTCGTTGTTGTTTTTTTCTTTATGGATTAAGGGAATGTTATGGCCCAAAGCCACCAATCAGAAGCAGCGCATTATCGATCGGATAAAGGACGCGTAAAAAAACGTGCGAGCAGCCTAGAGTTCTGACTGGTCCTGCTTTCTGCCTAGCCCAGCCAGTTTAAGTCCAGAACAACAATCTCAGCCTCTCCGATATGAATCCTTACATTTCAAACATACTGAGTTTAGATACCAATCAGACAGACCACATCGTACCAATAAGATAGAAAACAACATTTATACAAGATTTGGCCAAATGTGGCTGTGAGTGAGGGAGTCAGTGACTAATAGACAGGGGATAATTCAAGAATGGAAATTCGTATAATAATGGTTCATAGGTCAAAATAAAGTTTATAATAAGAGGAATATGAATACGAATAGTTTAGTTATTTAACAATTATACGATAAAAATATAGGCATAGTATTGGTCCATAAAAGGATCACCAACATTGAAGAGCAACAAAACAGGTGGGTAGAACACTTCAAAGAACTCTTGAATCGACCAGCTCCACTGAACCCACCCAACATCGAGGCAGCACCCAGGGACCTCCCAATCAATGTTGGCCCACCAACAATTGAAGAAATCAGCATTTCCATCAGACAAATCAAGAGTGGCAAAGCAGCAGGACATGACACTATCCCAGCAGAGGCACTAAAAGCGGACGTGGCGGCAACTGCAAGGATACTCCACATTCTCTTCAATAAGATTTAGGATGACGAACAAGTACCAACAGATTGGAAAGAAGGACTTCTGATCAAAATACCGAAGAAAGGCGATCTCAGCAAGTGTGATTACTACAGGGGCATCACTCTTATCTCAATACCGGGAAAAGTCTTCAACAGGGTATTGTTAAACAGGATGAAGGACTGCGTAGACGTCCAACTTCGTGAACAACAGGCAGGATTCCGTAAGGATAGATCGTGTACAGACCAAATCGCAACTCTACGGATCATTGTGGAACAATCAATTGAATGGAATTCATCACTCTACATCAACTTCATTGACTACGAAAAGGCATTTGATAGCGTGAACAGAACAACACTATGGAAACTTCTCCGACACTATGGCGTGCCTCAGAAGATAGTCAATATCATACAGAACTCATATGATGGATTACACTGCAAAATCGTGCATGGAGGACAGTTAACATAGTCGTTCGAAGTGAAGACCGGTGTTAGGCAAGGTTGCTTACTCTCACCCTTTCTCTTTCTCCTGGTGATCGACTGGATCATGAAGACGTCAACGTCTGAAGGGAAGCGCGGGATACAATGGATATCTAAGATGCAGTTGGATGATCTAGACTTCGCAGACGATCTGGCCCTTCTATCCCAAACGCAACAACAAATGCAGGAGAAGACGAACAGTGTGGCAGCAGCCTCAGCAGCAATAGGTCTCAATATACACAAAGGGAAAAGCAGGATTCTCCGATGCAACACAGAATGCACCAATCCAATCACAATTGACGGAGAAGATTTGGAAGATGTAAAAACCTTTACATATTTGGGCAGCATCATTGATGAACACGGTGGGTCTGATGTAGATGTGAAGGCGCGGATCGACAAAGCAAGAGCAGCATATTTACAACTGAGGAACATCTGGAACTCAAAACAACTGTCAACCAACACCAAGGTCAGGATTTTCAATACAAATATCAAGACAGTTCTAATGTATGGGGCAGAAACCTGGAGAACTAAGAAAGCCATCATCCAGAAGATACAGGAAGACCAAAGAACACATTATACCGGGAAATGGAAATAGACATGAGAGAAATGAACAAGAATTGGATGGAACTAGAAAAGAAGGCTCAGGACAGAGTGGGTTGGAGAATGCTGGTCGGCGGCCTATGCTCAACTAGGAGTAACAGGCGAAAGTAAGTAAGTAAGCGCTCGCGTGCGAGACTGATAGGTCCTGGGTTAAAATCTCGAGAGGTGGGATCGTGGTTGCACACTGACACTGAGGAGTTCCACAATAAGACGAAACGGCCGTCCAGTACTTTCAGGTTCTTCATAGTGGTCTAGCTTCAATTGACTCGGGATCTTAACCATTAAAATTGCCTTATTTTAGTAAAAGTATCTTAAGTTGTTATGAATCTAAAAATTCATTTATTAATACACAAATGTACACAATATACGCGGCAAATGTTTTATTCTTTAAAAAATACCAGTTCATACCATATCACTACAGATAATCTCAATCTGACACATTGTTTAGTTTTAGTGTTTATCTGATTGGTTAATACCAATTGTACGGAACATATGATTGTTGTTGTTTTAAAGAATGGATTAACTTAAATTGATTCATGATTTCAATGAAATTCAATAATCCTCATAACTCCAAATTAGAAATTATTGTGTGCTCACTAATGTCTAGCTTCGAAATGAAATTTCCGGTGCTCTAGTGAGAAGCCTTTTCAAACAGAGTTCAACCGTATTGGGTGTGTGGCAGTTATCCATCGAAGACAATATGAGGTGGTCACGAAATATCATGAATTGATCGAGGCTAGAAATAAACACTACTGGATACCGGTTCAATGGTTGAGAGGTTAACTGTTCATGTACAAGATCGTAGGTTTTGGGTTTGAGCTCGGATCTAGGGGTCGATATCTGTGTACTAAGAATGAATGCAATACTAGGACAAAACGATCGTTCATTCCTTTCAGGTCTTCAGTGGTAATCTAAAATTGATCAGTTTGTGGTTCTATAAAAAAATCATCTTTCTATCATAAACATATCAGTTTAAAAAAGTACTGATGTTATTATTCTGTTATAGTTAAAATACTGTCTTCGATCTAATTCTAACCGTGTTCAATCGAAAGATGACTTTAGAAAGTAGATCATTTTCTTAGCGTGTAGCACTTCGAGATATGACTTAATTCAAACACCAATAATAATAATATAGAGTAACTTCCTGATCCATTCATCAACAGGAAATGACAGAATACGCACAAGTAAGAAGGAGAATGGGATATAAGTTTGTAATTAATTAACAATAAATTAAGAAAGGTAAAACATATTACAATAGTCAATGCTTTAAACGATAGATTAAATTTAAGAGAATATAAGAATGTAATCATTCAAGTGTCTAATAATTATAAACATTAATTCTTCATAAGATAGTATCACAAGTTACAGCTTCCTTGATATATGTCCCGTTACAACAAGTGAGACTATGAACCATAATGGTAATTGTTGACTAACTGGTTAGGATTCGCGCGATTATTGAAAATGATTGATATAACTCAGAATCAACCGCGGAATGACCGTCTATTGCTTCCAAATTTTTAATGTTGGTCGATTTAGGTATACAGAATTGGTTGATCACTGGGTGGTGATCAATGTCATGTATGTCAGGTCCTTCTTAGAACAGATCGAATCTTATCTACCGATTTGCAATGTGGCCACTAGTTTAGGTGACTCGACATTACACTAATAAAGACCTGAAAAATATGACATTGGTCACCACCCAGTGATCAATCAACTGTAAATACATCTCAGTCCTACAGGAAGTCAGTCGCGGCACAGATAGCTCAGTGTTAAGATCTATGACTGTGAAGCTGGGTGACACGGGATCGATTCTGTCAGACAGCATCAGTTTCCTCAAGATTACAGGCACACCTTGCCGATCAGTGTCAAGTGGCAAAAAACCTAGGCCCAGAGTTTCCTGTTGACTACCACAAACCATAATCTTAACTAGGCATGATTCGTTTAGTGTACATCGACTCATGAATTCAGCTATTAAAATTACTACAATCTCCACAAACTCCATTCTGATCATAATCATTATATGTTCACTAGTGATTGGCTCTAAGATGATTTCTTGAAATTCTAGTGAGAAGCCGTGACTAGTGGAGCTAATCCTTATTGGATAGAGACAGATATCTATCTCAATGCAATGAAAGATGATTGCGCAATTTCGTGAATTGGTTGAGGTTAGACATTAACACCATCAGATACCGACTCAGTGGTCTAAAGGTTAAGCGTTCGCGTGCAAGACCGAAGGTCCTGTATTCAAATCCTGCGAACCGGATCATAGATACTCACTGTTGAGGAGTCTCACAATAAAACGAAACGGTCGTCCATTAATTTCAGGTTCTCAATAGTAGTCTAACATCAATCGGTTCATGATCTTGAACCAAAAAAAGAAATATAATAATCTTCACAACCTTATACTGATAAGTCTCTTTATTTTCTGGTAGAGAATAATCATTTCATTTATATTTTACTATATAAATATTTCGTTAATGAAATATATTTTCAACATTATTACTGACTTTCAATCAT